TTCTCATATAGATCAACAACAAATAATATTATTCAAATTAGTGTAAAGCGTTTTTGATGATTTTTTCAAAATGTACAAACTTTTTTATATTTGATTAGGCAGAAACACCTTGAAAGCTGTCATATAGACATATACCCAATCAATTAAGTCAACCCCCACCCCTCTCCCATCAACACACACAAACACACCCTATTGCCTGTTTTTGGAAATAGGCCTAGATGGCAAAGTTAAGATAGAACATCTTTTGTACATGATAATTTTAAATTTGTTTTTGTACTATAAATGTATCTGAACATCTGCATCACATTGGGCTTGCGTCACGTACCCAACTTAAGTACTAGTTTTACCATAATCATTTTAGATAGCACTGCACGTGCATTACTAGTGTGGTGTACACATCATTGCATGTATGTCAGTTGGAATTATTTTGTGTTTTAATTGGATTATATTTCATGAAGTTGAAGGGACCTATGACAGTGGGTAAGTACAAGTTTTGGTATAGATTTGGGTTAAATAGTCTGAAATGCAACTGGTTATGTTTAAGTTTAAAGGATCAAAGGTCACCCGATGCTTTAACTTTCTGAAGAGTTATCGCCCGTTATCGACGTGACATTCAGTTACAATATCCAGAATTTTTTTTCTGGGAGGGAGGGTGGATTTCCAGACCAGAATTTCCTGAGAAGCAAAAAAAAGAGAAGTTATGGTGGGGTCCGTTTTCTAGGATGGAGGGCATCCAAAGTCATTTTTATTTGCTTCAGTAAATATTATAGTCCTGCAAACTCCGAGGGGGGTCTCCAAATCCACTCCCTTTCCCTGTAATGACAAATGATCATGTGACTCCTAAATGGTAGGAAACTTTTTCCATTTGACTATACATAATTTTGTTTTTTGTGTTATTATGTTGTGTAAATTTAATGGTATAAAGGTTATGAACCCCAGGAGGTCATCCCCACTCTCCAAATGAACTGGAAATGTTCACAATATGACTGCATTAAATTAAATAAAAGTGCATCAATGATAGGATTGCTTGACATTTTATTCATCAACCTATCCTCCTAGAATCAGGAATGAAAATCATTCAAAGAGATGGACCACATTAAAGGATTTGTATATATTAACATTTTTTTTAAATGTAAAAACAAGTAGTAGTTTGCATACATGAATAAACAGGGGTCTTGGAAGGGATGAGGGGAAGGATTGAGTTCATATCTCTTTACGACTTAATGGATGAAAACTCCTAAAATGAATGTTGACCTCAAATCTGACTTGTCCTCATTATTTTTCAAATGGTGGTGTATCCATTTGAGTGAAAAATTCCTGAGAGGGATGTTTAACAACAAACAAACAAATGACATAAAAACACAATATTGATTTGCGTTAAGAAATATGCAGGGGATTTTTTTTCCATCATAAATTTTCTTCTCGAGAACAGCAAGGGCGCATTATTGTCTCCCGTTTTTGTGAAAGGGAGGGAACATAAAATCTCATTTGTCTGTCAGTCTTTCCATCTTTGGCAGTATGTGCATCCGTCACAATAAATTAAACCTTAGTCATAACTTTTGAATAATAAGAGATAGGGCTTTCATATTTAACATGTACATTACCACAAAACTTTTTAAATGGACAATGATTTTTTAACCCAAGTGAGACCTTGACCTTAAAGTTTTACCTACTTTCCAAAAAATATCATTTTAAATTAATCATTTTGAAAAAGAAAAGATAGGGCATTTAAATTATACATGTATATTACATGTGAAAAGACTTTTCTAAATATATCATGACTTTTGACCTAGAATTTTAACCTACTTTTCAAAAAATATTATATTATATATTTATATATCTATAACTTTTGATTTAAAAGAGATGGGACTTTCATATTTGACATGTACATTACCTGCAACAGAATATATCCGAGCATGCTATGATTTTTACCCCTTTGACCTAATTTTCATAAATTGACATGTGATAGGGGTGCATATTTGACACACAATCTGCCATAAATTATGGCATCCCATTCACTAAAACACAGAAAGCAGAAGACCACAATTCTTTGAATTTGCTTGTATTATCTTGATATGGAAACATCCTCATATAATGTAGATTCAAGTTTTTATGCCATGTCATGATTAGGAATACATGTATAATTTTTGTCATGTCCATCCTCCACCCTTCCATCTGTCTTTCCATCGAGCTCAAAGAAACTTTCTAGATTGATACATATACAGATGTAATCTATCCAACTGCAGCAATATTTTTTTACCTTGACTTTCCTTTGACCTTCACTTAACTTTTCTTAAAATTACTGTTTAGCTTTATTTTAAAGAAACCATTCAAATTGTGTAATTAAACTTCACATGATGATACATACTGATGTAAGCTTTACAATGCTTCAGTTTTTTACCTTGACATTTTCTGTGACCTTGAGCTCACTTTTCTAAAATTAATGTCTAGATTAGTTTTGAATAAACAATTCAAGATATATTTATCAAACTTCATATACTTATACATACTGCTGAGAGCTATTAGTGCATCAACTTATTTTGACCTTCAATTTTCTTTTGACCTTGACCTCACTTTTTAAAATATGTGTTTATCTAAGTTTTAAAGAAACCATTAAATATATTTTTATCAAACTTTATATACGTATACTAAATTCACATTGATGTAAGGTTTTCAACTGCAACAACATTTTGACCCCAACCTTTCCTTTGACTTATCTTTTCTAAAAAAAAAATGTTAAGCTCAGTTTCATTAAATCATTCAAGATATTTAAGTTATGTTATCAAACATAATATGCTGATATGTATTAGTGAGAGCTATTCAATTGCATCAAAATCTTCACCTTGCACATTCCTGTGACCTTGACCTCCCTCCTCTTTAATTTGTATTTTGCCTAGTTTTAAAGAAATGATTTAAGACATTTTTATGTTTAGCATGCACTTATACATAATTTAGTGAGAATTTATTATCTATATCCAATTTATTTAGAATTTAGTTTCAATTCTAAAGAAACTGTTCAAGATATTTTCATCAAACTTTATACACTAATACAAATTTTCATGTAGCATTAGTAATATACATTTGAAGGGACATTCATGTCCTATAGACATATTTCGAGTTTTTCAAATCATCACCTCAAAGGCTAGGGTCAGGCCACAAATAGGGATCAAAGTTTTATTTAGGAAAAGAAGGAAACACATCTTCAAAATTCTTCTTTTCAAGAACAACAAGAGCATGATTAATATAAAACATTCTCAAGAGGTGTAGATTCAAGTTTGTACAAATCATGACTCCCCGGGTTAGGGAGGGGCCATTTTTTTCCTGCCCCTTTTTGCCATCCACATGAAAATTCAAATTTTGAAACCATTTTACACATACACAAAACAAACCAATTATTTTCCAAATGATCATGGTTTAAAGCTATTGCATAAAGTATTGGGGAAGTTATTGAAAGCAGTTTCTTGAAAAAAAAATTCTACCCCCATTTGACAACCCCCCCGGGCAAAATGAAAATTCAAACATCTACATGACATCACCAACCATCTGTTAGTGGATGATTAGGCTACTGAGTAAATGTAGAAGGAGTTCATGGAAGACGGGCTTTTAGCATAAATAACATCATTTTTCGAATTCCGAAACCCTACTGCACATCTACATGACACCACCAACCATCTCCCAAAGTTGATTAGGCTGCTGAGTAAAATGTAGAAGGAGTTCAGGGAAGACGGGGCTTTTTGCATAAAAAAAAGTCATTTTTCGACCCCCATTTGACCCCCCGGGGCAAAATCAAAATTCCGAAACCTTACTGCACATCTACATGACACCACCAACTACCTCCCAGAAGATGATTAGGCTGCTGGATAAAATGTAGAAGGAGTTCAGGGAAGACGGGGCTTTTAGCATAAAAACGTCTTTTTTCGACCCCCATTTAACCCCCCAGGGCAAAATCAAAATTCCGAAACCTTACTGCACATCTACATGACACCACCAACCATCTCCCATAATATGATTAAGCTACTGTGTAAAATGTAGGAGGAGTTCAGGGAAGAAAAGTGTGACAGACGGACGGACGGACATGAGTAACAACAATATACCCGAACTTTCTTTGGAAAGTGCGGGTATAACAAGGAAACATGTCATGTGCTTTTGACTGATTGATAAGCGAGTGCTAATTTATTATTTTGATAAGTTTGAAAATCTTGTGACAAAGACTTTTCCGAAATAGGTTCTACCTGAAGTAGTTTTACAAACATGTCATTTACATGATTCGATACTTAAGTCAAACGTGTTAAATGAGTTTTGGGACATATTGGTCAAGAAAGTGCGTGGCGTTAAAAAAGTAAGTGGAACAATGGAGGCATAGAAGTATAAGAGTAGGTTTTCATTAGTGAACATAAGAAAATTTCAGTATGTCTGGCCAGAACTGGTGATAAGACGCCATGAGGAGGCATATGAGTTTGGACAAACACTCCATGGTAGCAGGGTTGCTGGAAGCTGGCTAAACGCAACGTCACTTGAAGAAAGACTTTATCTTTCTCAAAGCGGAATAAACGGTTATTGAACCGAAATTTACAGGCAGAAAATTGTCAAGAAAACTAAAATCGGGACGTCCAAGGTGTACGTCAGTCCGTTAGGATCGTTATTTCACCAATTGTTCTGAGACGCACCGCTTCCAATGTGCTTTTAAGTTTTATACTGGGCATTAGAGAGCAACGGATTTCTACTCAGCCAGTTTGAAACAAACTTCAGGAAGCAAATATCAAGGCTTGCCGACGAGCCGTACGTCCTGTATTAAGGACAGATGATACAAACATTTTTTTTTTGGAATAGACTTCATATCGTATCACAAGTTTAGAAAAGTTGATAATTCTTAGAATTTTTTCTCCTAAGAACTGGAAAACGAAATAGACTTGGAAAATACTATTAATACTTCAATATAATTACACACATGGACAAAACACACTCAGTACAGGTTTACAGATGAAAACAAATTTCAGAATATGTCACCAAGCCAGGTAAATTTTATTGAGAAAAGCAAAATGGTAAAAATCAGCCTATGTGCTAGTGCTGATTTTTTGTCATTTTGTATTTCTTCATAAAATCCCCTGTCTTAGTATTTTATTCTTAAGTTTATATTACACTTTTAGCACCAAGGTAACATATTCTGAATTTTTTTTCCACCTGTAAACCTTTACTGAGTGTTATTTGTTTATATTTGTTTTTTTTTTTATTGAAATGTTACTAATATTTTCGAAGTCTATTTCATTTTCCAGTTCTTAAGAGAAAAAAATGATAAGAATTATCCACTTTTCTAAACTTGTGACATGATATTAAGTTAATTCCAAAGAAAAAAAATTGTTTGTATCATCTGTCCTTAAAATTAGAGTGCCGCAGGAATCGACAACAATGGGCAACAGAACACAAAAATTTGGCAATAAGGTCGTTGGTGTTCTGTTCTCTTCTCAGATGAGTCGCGTTTTGACTTCCATGATGACAGAGGACTTGTTTGGATTGCAAATGGGGAGAGATATGCTGATTGTGTCATTTCTGAGCAATACAGAGTAAATGGAGGTTTCATGCACGTGATGATTTGGGCATGCATACATGTAAGTATTGACTGCAAAACTGATCTGTACATTATTAAAGACAACCTGACAGGTTTAAAATACCGCATTGATATTCTTCATCCTATTGTTAGAGGTATTGCATGCACTCTGGGGGAGGATTTTATCTTAATGGACGATTATGATCGACTTCAATGAGTCCGAATCGTAAACGAGTTCATGGAAAGTTAAAAGCAAAGCTGTTTGGACCCGCCAAGTCATTCTCTAGACCTGAAGTTAATTGAACATGCCTGGAACATTCTTTAGCAACGCATTTCAGTTCGTCTTACACTTCCCCAAAATCGACGGGAGCTTCAGACAGCATTGCAGGAGGAATGGCAACAGGTCCCTCCGGCTAGCCTTGGACGGCTGAAGGACAGCATTGGTCTGTGCTACAGGGCCTCGCGGGGAGGTCATACAAAATACTGACAATCATTTTAGTGGCGTTATTTGACTCTTCTGAAGAAAAAAAAATCTCATTTTCAGGTCTACCCCCAACATGCCGAATTCTAAATTGACCGTAATGAACAATTCGTAGCGTGTGTTCAAACAAATTTATAACATTCAATGTTTAATTTTCACTCTCCAAATATAAAATATGGCACTAAAATTAAAGCTGCATTCTGTTTTTTTATGGTACAGTATTTGTTAAACATATTTTATTTGGTGATCCTTAACTCTTTTTTGTCCCGTATAGTTTTAATGAGGCTTGACTTTTTTATGATTTTACATAGATTCCCTAAATGGTTCGGTTAGACTTATTAATGGGTCCTCTCCGTCCAATGGTCGGCTTGAGATCTACTATTCCGGAGTTTGGGGTACGGTGTGTGGTGATAACTGGGGAAGTACAGAGGCCGGAGTCATTTGTGCCATGATGGGATTTTCAAGGTTATAGATCGCTATTTTATGTATTCATGTAGTTAGTTTAATAGTGCTTAGACACATATTTGAACTTAGTATTTTCTTAAATTTTCTGTACAATATCACGACTCATAAATTGCACTAGCATTTTACACGTGTGATAATTTGATTGAGGGTCATACGAAACAGTTCATAACACCAGGATTTTACTTTTTAAACATTAAGACTGGTATGAAAGAATGTCAAATTACGTTTAGTAAAACAAATTTTGCTTTTGCTTAACAGAAAAATGGAGGCCTTAACTTGTCCCCTGAAAAAATTGTTACCCGCCGCCTATCTCTCTTGAATTTGTGTTTTTATGACGTCACAAAGACCAATTGGTGTAAATAGCGCACAGATCTAGTGTAATTTTACTTAGCTGCAATAATGTAGCCCTTTCCGATTTTGTTTTGATTGGGAGAGGGTTACGACTCCTTAGGTAGTGAATCACTCCCACACGCATTTCGGCTCAAATCATCAGTGAACAGCAATTTTATTAACATCTCTTACCTGTACTCAAAAAAGGTATTATTATTATGCAAGACTTAAATCGATCCAAAAATATTCACAACGACCCATAGATCGGTTATTTTTCGTGTATGTCAACATCACAACTTAAATTTATCCGCCATGTTTACTGACCTTGATAGATTTTATTTTGGGACAGCCAATGAGAATTTGGAATCTATAGGAGCGGATCTTTCAGGAAGTCCCTTATTTTAAGCATACATATCGCTGTTTGCGTAAAAATAACACTTGAAATAGTTTTATTTATCGATATCATTGTGATACTTTTCAGCCCAGTCGTTTATAAACATCGACATATGCTTTTTTTAGTTGTTCTAAATTTCAAACGAAAGTCTCAGTACTTCACGCGTGAACTGTCATGGTTGTTGCTTGTAAACATGCAGATATATTTTACATGGTTTTCGAGTTTAGCGGGCTATATTATTGATAGTGAATAAAAATTCTCTCTTATAAGAAGTAAGTTGAATGTAAAATAATTTAATTTGCCTTCAATCGCCCGTATTTAAAAAATATATTTGCACCATTACGGAGATGCGATGGAATCGTAGCCCTCTCCAGAAAACATCAGATAAAAAAATCGGAGAGGGCTACATTTTTGCAGCTAAATTTTACTGTGTTTTCTTGAGTTTATTTCAGTCTTTTTGTGGATATAAATGTGATCATGCTTTTAAATGTTCTACCTCATTCTAAAGAACAGTTTACTCTAGTCATTAATTATGGCAACTGAAAGCGAGAGCTTTATTAGTAGGATGACTCCGATGAGAACTTTTTTAAAAATCAAGATGTTTCACCTCCAACTTTGCTTTATTTATTTTAAATTAATACCTTAGAAGCAAAAGCAAAAACCTTCTTGTTTTATTTGATACGTATATGACACATGATGTTACTCCTCTGTTTCCCTAATAAGCACGGGGATATTGAACAGCTGTTGAAGTTCATGATAAACGTGGATCATTGAAAAGTCGGCGGATTTGAATGCATGCTTTTGCAATCTAAAACACAAGAACTAATGTAAACGATATATAGAAATAGGGGGGTTTATGACGATATCACCGTAATTTTGTTGTCACAAGAACAGTAATTTTGAAAAAAAAATAGCTAAAAACTTACAGGCATTACGATTAAACACATGTAAACACATGAACTACATAATGTTATAGTGGTGCTGATACTTCTATAACATTTTTTTCACATTTTCTTTTTTAAAATCAGACTATATAATCTTTATTAAAATAAACTGATGCAAAAGAAAATTTGATCTGTAAATATATACACACAGAAACGTAGGATTACATAGATTGAATTGCGTTAAATGTCTGACTCTTTTATTACATATTATATTATATTATATTATTATATTAAATTATTACGATAAAAAAGGCACAGTGTAATATATAAATGTACCGGCTGTGGTAAAAAAAGATAGGAATGAAAAAGAGTCGATGAGATAGGGAAAGCCAAAAAAAGAATAAGGAATAATTGAGAGAGGGAAATTAAACAAGAAAGTGATAGAATCATTTCATTTTCCCTAATTAAATGAAATCATTTATTTGCAGGCTAAGTTTCACTTCACACACTCGGTGAATGGAATCGAATCCAGCTTTACTTATAAATGCGTGACATGTGATAGCATAATTGATAGCAAATCATCAAATCGGCCGCACAAATGTTGCATTTTAAAAAGTGCATTCACAATATAAAAAGTATATATGCTAGGAAAGCACGTTGTTTTGAAAACTGAAATAGTGATCCTTTCTATATCAGACTGCCTTTAAGGTTTCGTCAAAGGTCAACATGTCTAAAAAGTTATTTTTACAATAACTCCAAAACTATGTGAGGTATAAAGTTAAAACTTTTACAGTTTATAACTTTTTTATTGATTAATAGATAGAAAGTATCTTTTGATAAAAAAAAATACCTGGAAAAAATATTAAAATTGAGAAAAAATCTTTTTTTTTAAAAAGCATATTTTTTCAGAAAATGCGCCTAATTAATTCCGTCTTTTAGTGAAAACCATCACTGCAGAAACAAAATATGTTTATCAATGAAAGGCAAGTTGGACTTGGATAGCCTCTGGAAAGTTGTTTTCCCTGTTTATTTTGTACAAATGTTAAGATTTGAAAGCGAAAGTACATTGCAAATGGCGGGTTCTACAGGGGTCTTGTCTTTATACATGTCATGCTTTCAATAACAGCCTTTCAGAGACCATTCACGTCCAACTTGCCCTTCAATGATAAACATATATTATTTCTGCAATGATGGTTTTCACAAAAAGGACAGAATTAAGCAGGTGCATTTCTCTTTAAATATGCACATTGTCTGATTCAATTTTTCTCAAAAAATATCTTTAAAAAAATTATTTATTATCAAGTGATACTTTCTATCTATTAATCAATGGTATACATGTATCTATAAACTGTAATTAAACATTTTGCCTTTAAACCACACATAGTTTTGGAGCTATTGTAAAAATAATTTTTAGACATGTTCACCTTTGACGAAACCTTGAAACAGAATGATAATAAAAAATAATAGTAAAAATAATAATATAAATTTAGTGTAGTTGCTCATCGAATGGATTCATCAATTGAATTGATAAATGATAAGAATTTATTTACATCAAAATGAAGATTTAAGCCTTTCAAGATGAACCGCGTGCTTATACCCTTGATCATAATATCGCGTGATAATGTCCCTGGTTTCTGCAGAGAATTAAGGCTCTGCTGCAAGGCGCAGTTTAAAATGTAGAAAACAAAGTCATTCTCAGCTGTAGCATATTCGTATCAATTTTTACAAGTTGAACAACTTTTTAAGTTTTATTAACCAAGCACTTTTACAAAGTCATTATTATCCGGAAAATCATGACGATTTACCTTCATATCTTATACGCTCCCAGGCCGTGGAGTACCTATTATAAACTCGTTTTATATAACCATAAATTGTCAATAATCTGATTAGAAATTATAATGAAGTTGAAACATAATAACAACAATTGATACTTAGTTTAAAGCAAGTTTTTAAGATATTTTACTGATGATTTTAAAAATATTATCACTTAAAAATTATTTAACTGAACTAATCCAAAACTAACGTCTCATTTCCCCATGTGCACTCTCTAACACAACCACAAAAACACCCCTACTAATGTTATTGTGATTTAAATTCAAGACACGTGGTTTAGGTTCTATTCAAAGGTTATAGGGTAGAACCGCTTTAATAAAAAAAAATTGGCAGTAAACAGGATATTGCTATAGCCTGTTTCTTTTGAAAACATGTCCTGTAATAAATGTTTTCAGATCTTTCTGAAAGACTTTCATGATTTTCAACAGAAAGGGGGTGGCTTAAGGAGGGGTTGTTAAAATAACAATATATCTTATACTTTTCGGCGAAAAGAAGAGCTCACTAGCAACCGATTCACTGGTAAAAAATGTGTTTTATCAACCTTTGTTTGCCTTATATGGCTATTGTTATGAATGCGCACAGAGGATCTTACCACGAGCAATTACTGACCAATCGTTGGAATGAATAGCAACGTTTACGCCAAATACATGTTTTCATTTTACTTCGAACACGTGGTTCAGGTCAATCTATGATCATGTCAATGGAATACAAAATAATAAAAAAAAATGTTCTTAAGAACAAAATACAAAGATAAGAAACTATTTAAGATGTAACGGGCGTTTTTAATTTATTGTTTACTTGAAAAAAATGTTTAAATGTAGTTTGTGTATAGTTCAGAACACCAGCGCTTTAAGGGTAAGGAAAACGAGCAGCATCTCCTTTGCATTTAAATGGACAAAACTTTGTTTACGTTCGTGATCACGTGTAGGGAATCCACTTGGCAATTGTATTCACCGATAGCACAACAACGGAATGAATACAGACGCTGATCGCTTTTGCAGTATGACTTTTAGTAACCTAGCTAGACTTCCACCGTTTATTGCCAAAAGATTGCCACTTTTCCTAAGGATTAAGAATAAAGTTAAAATTTGTGAAAGTGCAAAGATGTGTTAATCAAACCCGCCAAAATATTTAAAGTTTTAATAACTGTTAAATGAAATAAGATTTTTTTAATTAATTTTTTTAGGTCACCTGAGTAACTCAGGTGACCTATTGCTATCCGTTTTCGTCCGTCGTCCGTCGTGCGTCGCGCGTCGTGTGTCGTGTGTTAACATTTGAACATTTTCAGCTTCTTCTCTGAAACCACTGAACCAATTTCAACCAAATTTGGTATACAGCATCTATAGGTAGAGGGAAACAAAAATTGTGAATTTCATGGTCCCCCCCCTGGGGCCTGAGGGGTGGGGCCAAAACCACTAAAATTAATGAAATCTTTTAAAATCTTCTTCTTTACTCCTGGACATCACGCAGGCAAACTGTTGGCATGAATGTAATGAGCATTGAGTCCTCTACCAAAATTGTGAAATTCATAGCCCTAGGGTCAGGGGTTCTAGTGCTAG